CGGAAAAAGGCAAGTGTAGACAGCACAGATTTCTTTTCCGCAAAAAAGCCCCGATCGCGAAAATGACAATCAGGGCTTTTTTGCGGAAAAGTGCTTTTCCGGAAAAGCATCCTGCCAATGTAGATGAGCTTTTTCCGGAAATACTTATAACGGAAAACTGTTCCGTTTTTAGCATTTCCGGAAAATCATGCCAGTGTAGACGTAGCCTAGGAGTTTCTAAGGATCAGGCATGAAATCCTGGCCCCATTCAAGTCAATGGGGGTTTTGCCATTGAGTTCAACAAAGGCCAGATTCCCAGCCACCCCCACTTTCTGTCTGTGTCTGAATGCCACATCCATGCCGACAGTAATGGGGAAACCAGCTACGAAACTAGGGAACCAGCTGCAAGGCTGCTGATGGCTGGGCCGGAGAGAGAGGAGAGAACTGAGCCATCGGGGCACTGAGGAGTGTGGGATGCTGGGGTGCACCTCAGGAATGAGAGCTCCTGGGCTCTGCTTCAGGCTTTGATACTGAGCCGCTGGGGGACCTCCAGGGAGCCCCCCACCCCTGTCTGCCTTGGGCAGGGGGGCTCACGCTGACACAGACCTGCTCTGCGGGGGGCTGCAGGGCTCAGTGACTTACAGACGAGCGAGGCGATGGCGTGGGCCCCCTTGCTCTTACCGTGCTGAGGTGCGAGGGGCCCTCTGGCAAGGTGATGGCAGGGACTCCCAGCATGTCCATGACACCGTTCCCCAAGGGAGAGGGGTTATCGCTCAGGCTCCAGGTGCTGCTCAAGTTGGAGCAGAGGGAGTAGGAGGAGGGGCACACCTGAGAGGGGAGGGAGGGACACAATGAGACACGAGAAGATCATTGGCCCTCCCTTCTCTTCACCCTCAGGCACTCCTCCCCAGCCCCCAGCCTGCAGGGTCCTTTCCTTCTACCGCCCCACTGGCTCCTCCCCGCTCACCTTCATGCCGGCATCCCGGCAGCATGGCTGCTGTGCCCCCAGAGCCCCCGCCATGCCCTCCGCCCGGCTGAGTTTGCTCCGAAGCTCATCCCTCTCCTCCTCCAGGGCCCGCACCCGTTTGCGGTACTGGTCCTTCTCGACCAGGCTCTGGGAGTACTGCAGCTGCACCCGGTCTCGGCTCTGGATGGCCTGCAGGGGGGAGAACCAGATCCCACGCCCGGAAGGAGCCACTGTGACTATAAGGAAGGCCATAGAACCCATCCCTGAATCATTCCCGGACAGGGGTGAGGCATAGGAGGACGCAAGGGGGCACATGCCCCCAAATGCCATGGGTGGGAGGGGCAAAGGGCCAGCCAGCAAGGCCTGAGCCTCTGGTTGGCCCAGGGGACTGGTATGGGGAGGGGTGTTGGAATCCCCCTCCCCACACTCTCACTGGCAGCGGCAGGGGAAGTGGAGTAACGTGGCCCCAGCTTGCTCTGCTCTCCTGGCGCACTGCTCGGGGGAGAGTGGGACTGCCCCCACATGAACCTGAAGGAAGCGGCCTGGCGCAGCTGGGGGAGCAGAGAGAGCTGGGCCCACATTGCTCTGCTTTGCCACTGAGGCCAGTGAGTGCAAGGGGGACCAGACCCCCAGCCCTAGTAGTCCCCCAGACCACATCGACTGAGGGAAGAGGGAGGGAGAGGGTGGAGTAGGAGTGGCCAGGGAGAGGTGGGGGGCCTGGGCAGAGAGGGGTTGTTCTGGCCCTTCCCTGGGCTGAGAGGGGATGTCACATGGCAGGTGGCCTCCTCTTACCAGTCGCCCTGTTCCTGGAGCAGATCTTGTGGAACAGCCACCTGTGCTGATGGAGGAATTACCAGGGGGAGAGAGCAGTAAGGATGGGGGGGAGGAGGTGACTAAAGGTATCAGGCACACAGAGTTAGCTCCCTGATCTGGGAGGGGTCAGGCGTGGTTATTCAGCCTCTCTCCTACAGGGACAGGGACTCTGGATGGGAGGACCATTCACCTGATCCCTCTCCTTCTCAATCTCCTCCAGCTGACACAGCACCGTGTTCATCCGGTGTTTGTACAGATCACAATCTTTCTGCAGAGTCCGGTGCTTCAGCTGCAGGTCCTCCACCTCCTGCAGGTACTGGGACAGGAATCAGCGTCACACGCCTTCCAGTGGCAAATATCCCTGCCTCAGAGGGCGCCGCTGTGCCGAGGGAAGGGGAAATACCTTGTCCCTTAGCTCCTCAGCCCACTGTAGCTCATTCTGAACAGAGTGCAGCTTCTGGCACAGATCCTGCCGTTCATCCTGGGCTTCCTTCCAGTCGTGCTCCAGAATGTCCAGGAGGATCCGCTGGGAGCCGGGCGCCTGCGCCTCACTCGCTGCCTAGGAGACGGGAGAGCAGAGTAGCCTCACCAGAGGTGCCAAGGGATGCTCCCAATGTGGGGCAGACCTCAGATCCTCTGCTTAGGGGACTGGCAGATGCGTGTTGTTCTGGTCGCCTTTCTTACGGCAGCACCCAGGCCCTCGTGTGCTAAGTGCTGCTCTGAAGAGTTCGTGCTCCAGACAGGCCAGGCAGACAAAGGAAGGATTGTGGTGGAAAACTGAGCCACAGGGAGATCAGGTGACTTACCCACAGTCACACCCAGAATCGGTGGCAGAGCCAGGACAGGTAGCCAGATCTCCTCAGTCCCAGCCCAGTGCCTTAACAATAAGCCTGCCCCACAGCACTTAGTGCAAGAGCACCAAAAGGTCCCTAAAAATGGGGGGCTCCCCACTGGCACCTGAACTGTGGCCCCGATCCTTCTCCTGAGGTCCTCCCTTCACTCTACCCCTTCACTCCTGAGGCCCTGCCCTCATACCACCCATTCCCTGGAGGCCCTGTCCTCACCCTTCCTAATGCTCCCACACCACCTCTTCCCCCCATCCCACCCACCACTTGGTCCTCTCCTCCCCCTCCGTCACTTGCCCTTATGGCTGGTAAAAAGGGGGGAGTATGACCCCCGAAGCCCAGGAAATTCAAATCCCGGGCTTCATTTGCAAGTGCGGTATGCCTACATTACCCCGCTAGTTCGAACTATCGGGGTAGTGTAGACATACCCTAAGAGAATCTGAGTGTTCAGTTTTAGATAGGTACCTTGTCGCTGTTCGGAATTCACCAGGGGTTTAGTTTGCTACCCCAGCTTGCCCTAGGGTGTTGGTCCTTTGACTCCATTGTAATTGGGGCAGTTATTCCATCATGCTGGCAGCACGGTTCCCTTTCTATTTGCCTTCTCTGGCGATAGCCCCTGCTCATTGTTAGACTCCATAAATACATCTGGGCTGTGTCTAGACTGGCATGATTTTCCAGAAATGCTTTTAACGGAAAAGTTTTCCGTTAAAAGCATTTTCGGAACAGAGCGTCTAGATTGGCATGGACGCTTTTCTACAAAAGCACTTTTTGCGGAAAAGCGTCCATGCCAATCTAGACACGATTTTCCGCAAAAAAGCCCCAATCGCCATTTTTTGCAGAAAACAAATCTGAGCTGTCTACACTGGCCCTTTTGCGCAGAAGCTTTGTGCAAAAGGGACTTTCGCCTGAATGGGAGCAGAATAGTATTTCCTCAAGAAGCACTGATTTCTCACAGTAGGAAGTCAGTGCTTTTGTGGAAATTCAAGCGGCCAGTGTAGACAGCTGGCAAGTTTTTCCGGAAAAGCGGCTGATTTTCCGGAAAAACCAGCCCTGGGCTTTCTGTCTGTTTCCCTCACCACAGAAACAGCTATATTGAAAACTGTCTCCGGTGGGACGGCGCAGAGTCTAGACTGACTGCCTGCAGCACTGCCCCGTCCCAGGGAGGGATGCAGGAGGACAGCTTTGATGGGCGCAAACACCGGAACGAAGGGCAAAGCTGGTGACGAGCAGAACCTAACGCCCACCTCTCTACTGCAGAGATCCATCCTGATGCATGGCGGGGCTGACTGGTCAGAGGATATTACAGGGAGCACCCACGCAGAGACCAGCCTTGGAGAGGGAGCTGAGTGACTGAGGAAGGATTTAAAGGAGCAGGTGACTGCAGGCCTGCCAATGTGGGAGGCACAGGGGGCAGTTGCCCTGGGGCGCAGTGATTCAAAGAGGCCCCCGAGCTTCCAGTCACTGTCATTGCTACTGCACCAGTGGCCGGAGCTCTGGGCCCTTTAAATTGCTGCAGGAGCACCACGCGGCATGCTCCACACAGTTCTGAGGGCTGGCTGCTCTTGGCCCCACCCCTTCCAGGGGCATGGAGCTGGGTCCCCTCACATACCTTGCCCAGGGGCCTGCAGAACCGGTTGGCCCCCCTGGGTGGCTGCATGTCACCTTGGAGGAGAGAGGCTGCTCCAGGCACACAGGGTGGTGACTGGCAAGCAGCAGAGGGGGAAAGGAGATGTAGAGACCCAGGCCGTGTCCAGACTCAGGGGGTTTTTCGGGAAAAGTAGCCTTTTCCCGAAAAAACTTCCCCTGCGTCCAGACTCAAGCCGCATTCTTTCGAAATTATTTCGAAAGAACGCGGCTTTTCTTTCGATGGCGGTAAACCTCAATTTACGAGGAAAAACGCCTTCTTTCGAAAGCTCCTCTTTTGAAAGAAGGCGTTCTTCAATGTAAAGAGGCCGTCTTCGAAAGAGAGCATCCAGACTCGCTGGGTGCTCTCTTTCGAAAAAGCGGATTTCTCTTTCGAAAGATCCGCCTGCAGTCTAGACGCGATCTTTTGAAAGAGGCTCTTTCGAAAGAAGCCTGCAGTCTAGACATAGCCCCAGAGCAGAGCTGTCAGGGTACATCTAGACTACAGGCTTTTGTCGACAGAGGCTTTGTCGACAGATACTGTCGACAAAGCTTCTGTCGACAAAGAGCTTCTAGACTACATCCAGTTCTGTTGACAAAGCAAGATGCTTTGTCGACATGACAGTGTAGACGCAAAGGACAGTGTAGATGTAATAACGCCTTCTGTCGACAGAACTCTGTCGACAAAAGGCGTTATTCCTCGTAAAATGAGGTTTACCGCCGTCGACAAAACTGCCAAGTTCTGTCGACATTATGTCAACAGAACATGGTGGTAGTGTAGACGCAGGCATAGTTTTGTCGACAAAACCCTGTAGTCTAGACACACCCTCAGAGTGTAGGTGCAAGGGGCTCAGACTATGTCCTCCCTCGCTCCTCCCATGAAGTGTCTGCCCAGTAGGCCTTTTCATCCCTCCCCATCCTCCTTCCTTTCACTCCACCCCCTCAGTCCCTCCCCATATGCATCACTCATTCACCCAGGTTTGCGCATTGCCAGCACTTTCTCTCTGTCATTGGCTCCTGCTTAGCAACATGACCCAACAGGGGGCCCAGCAATGCCTCTAGTTTCATCCATCTCTCTCATGCTAGGCTGCTTCCCTCTTAGGGTGAGACCACGTTAGGGATGTCCCCTCACAGGCCAGAGCTCTCAACCCCTCTTGTGGTCCAGCCATGGAGGAGTGAGGGACACCCCCGCTGTCTCTCCCTTGCCCTGGGGGTACCTGCAGCATGCTCTGCAGCTCCTGGAGGGAGGCCGTCAACCTGTGGTTCTCAGCCTGCAGCTCAGATACTGTGTCAGGCTGAGCCCGTTCCTCTGCCTCTCGCCGGGGCCCGGTGGCTGCCTGTTTCCTCAACAGCTTGCACTCCTCCTCCAGGCTGCCAACCTTACATTTCAGCTGATCCACCTGGCACAGGGAGAACAAAGACAGCCTCATGCCCATCGGCTCTCTGCCTTAGGTGCCAAAGCAGGAGGCTGGCACACAGGGAGGGGGCTTGGGAGTAATGAGAGCAAGGCCTGAAGCAGCCCTGCAGGAAGAGTTTTGTATAACTACTGCAGGGCTAGGGGCTCCCTTCTGGCTTAGTTCTCATGCAAAAGGCATTTGGTGGGTGTGACAAAGGAGGCTCCATCTGTACCAAACCATGAGCCCCAGTTTGTTGAGTGATTGCTCCCTTTGTATTGCCACCTCCACTACGCATTAGCACATCCGTTGGCAGTAGGTGCTTGGCACCTAGCAGAAAGATTCCCTGAAGCTCAAACAGAACAATCTCGTCCCAGCACTCACTCTCTCTCACGCACCCGCCAGCCCCGGAGGCAATGACCTCTCGGCATGGAGAAAGAGGTGGAATTTCCCAGCGACATCACAGGGCTGGAGAGCGGCAGTTTCTCCTCCTGGCCCAAAGAGACCAGAGACCGTATTTCAGAAAGGGGGTTCTCTGCACCAGGGCCCGTCTATCACCAGAAGACACGTTACAGAGGCAGGCAGGGCTGACTGGTTGCAGGATAATAAGGAAACCCAGGACACACCCACAGGGTGAGATCAGAGTCACCTGGCTCTGTTCTGAGCTATTTGCTGTTTTCCAAAACTCTGTAACTCTTGAGCATACTTTGTTAAGAGTCAAGTTTCTGAAGCCTTGTCTTCCAGCCTCTCTTTTGTCATCTCTGAGGGAGTCAGTCAAGGAACCTTTCACAGCCAGGTGACTCTTGGGAGATGCATCTAAGCCATAGAGGGCTCGAGAGGGTGAGGATTTAGTTTTGGGGTCTCAGCAGCTGGACTGCAGGACCTGCTGCCCAGGAAAGGTGTCGGGCATGGGCTCTGTACCCAGGAGCATGCCAGATGGGGGCATGTCTACACTACAGGAGAAGATCTTTGCTTGGCCCAGTCCATTGACTCGTGCTTGCTGGGCTCAAGCGGTGGGGCTACAAAACTGCAGTGCTCACATTCAGGCGCGGGTTGGAAACTGGGCTCTGAGAACACAAGAGGTGGGGAAGATCCCAGGGCCCGGGTTCCAGCCTAAACCCGAGCATCTGCACTGCAACTGTATAGCCTGGCAACGTCAGCCCAAGTTAGCGGACCCGGGCTGTTTTATTGCAGTGTAGACATACCCTACGAGACCCAGAGCTAAGAACAGTGACTGGCCACTGCCCAGACCCAGGGAGGTTAGCAGCACATGGGAGCCAGTGGTTGGGTCCACTCATCACAGCCTCGTGTCCATCCAGAAAAGGGGGCCGGGGCCAGACTGCACCAGTGGAGCTCACCCTCCTCTATGAGGGTATGTCTACACTGCCACCCTACTTCGAACTAGGGTGGCTAATGTAGGCATTCGAAGTTGCAAATGAAGCCCGGGATTTAAATATCCCGGGCTTCATTTGCATCTTGCCGGGCGCCGCCATTTTTAAATCCCCGTTAGTGCGGACTCCATTCCTGTGTGTATGCCCCGTGGAACGAGGTGTACCAGTAGTTCGGATTAGAAAGCCTAATTCGAACTACCTACTCCGTGCCCATTTGCAACTTCGAATGCCTACATTAACCACCCTAGTTCGAACTAGGGTGGCAGTGTAGACATACCCTGAGTGTCCATAGGACAGCACTCACAAAGAGTTCAGCTGCCTGTGCTCAGAAGAGGCCTAGGATTGCTACAGCAGAGAGGGAGGGACATGGGCAAGAGAGGTGCGGGCAGAGCCGTCCCATCCATAGGACAGTTTGGGGCGGCCGCCCTATGCTTTGGGGAGCCCTGCAAGGCCTGGGGTATTACTGGGGGGGGGGGATTGCACCAGCAGCAGGGTTTGGGCCCACCCCTGCACTCACCAGCGGTGGTAGGAGCCACGGAAAGTGGAGTGACCCAGCCCCAGCCTGCTCTGCTCTGCTGTGTCCCTCCATCTCCCAGCTGGGTTGCTCCGTTTCACTGCAACAGCAGCAGGAAGCCGAGTGACCCAGGGCCGGCCCTCTCTGCCCCCCTGGGCTGGGAGCTGGGTTCAGGGGAAGGTAGCGGGCGGGGGCCAGGACACTTTGCTTCCCACCGCTGCGGTGAGTGGGGGGGGGCGCCCACGATGCCAGTGCCAGACCCCGCGCCCCAGTAATCCCTCAGGTCTTGGAGGCAGTCGTGCAACGAGAGCAGGAGGGGGTGGAGCAGGGGGCAGGAAGTGGGACCGGACAAGTGGTGGGGCTTGGGGAAGCAGTGGAGTGGAGGCGGAGCAAGGGCAGGAAGAGTCGGGGTGGGGCTGGAGCTGGGGCAGAGCCGGGGGGGGGGTCCCAGGAACTTGCTGGGTGTAGGGATTCCAGGGCTGAAAGAGCAGAGCGTGAACAAGGCTGGAGTGACTTGAGGGCCATTGGCAGAGCTGTGCCTGGGGGCCCAGTGCTAGTGGCCACACCGTGGGGAGGGGCAAAGGCAGGGCTCGTGTGGGAGCCCAAGGAAGGGGCGGTAGCAAGGAGAGGGTTGTAAATAGGAGCCTGCACCTGGAATTAGCTTATCTCAGCCAGAGGAAGAGGGTGCGTAACTACTGGTGGTGAAAGTGTAATAACCAGGGCACAGTGTCATGCATAGCTTCTCCCTTGCGTCACCTGAGGGGAGAGGAGGTGTGGAGCGGGCTCTGCGCCCAGCGCCTCAGGAACAGCACCCGGTGCTAGGCTCTCCAGACCAGTGTTTCTCAACCCGTGGTATCTGTGCCCTGAGGGGTCCCCGAGAGAAGTCTGGGGGCGGGGGAGATGTCAACACCACTGAAATGTGAAGAAAACTGAATTTTTGTTTTAAATTTTACAGTGCTTTATTCTTTTTGTACTTTTTACACCCAAAAATTTCATCGCCCGCCCACGATTAAGTTGTTTAAACAAATGTGTTGCCATGGCAGAAAAAAATGGTGTGTCTGAAAACTGTAGGTACTGGGGGTACTTCTTTTTTAAGGGGTACTTTATCAAAAAAAAGGTTGAGAAACACTGCTCCAGAGCACCCAGTGCACAGCCAGGCAGAGGCTAGTGCACACGCAGCAAGACACACACGCTCCACCTCCAGAGGGCCGGCTGTGGGCATTAGTCAAGGAGAGAGAAGAAAAGTAATGCCAGCCCACGCAATGCAACACACAGTGCACCAGTAGCACACAGAGAGCACACTGAACACACACACACACACACAGAGCAATGTGCAGTACACCCGTACACACACAGAACACCAGAACACACACAAGCACACACACAGAGAACACAGTACACACACACACACACACACACACACAGCTGACAGAGCAATATGCAACACACTAAAAAACAGCATCACATACTAATGTACAACTGAACACAGGCGTTTTCAGTGAAACACTGATACCCCAAAGACCGAAGAATACACAACCTGAGCCACTCGCACACATACACCCATCACACACACACATACACATGCTGCCTGCGATACCAACCCAGCACAGACACACTAACCTTTCCACGCCTCCTCGCCCATCACACCTCAGTCTCTAAACTGCGGCCCTGGGAGCCAGGCACCTGCTCTCCCGCCCCGCCGTACCGCCAGCTGCAGGTCCCGGCTGCGCAGCACGGCCAGGTTCTTCTCCTCGCACTGCTGTGCATAGCGCATGGCCAGCATGTAGTTCTCGTCCTTCAGCCGCAGCAGCTCCAGACTGTGGGAGTCCCACTCCTCCCGCAGCCTCTGGCATCGCTCCTGCACCTTCAGCAGCTCCTGCACCTGCTGCTCCAGCCGGCTCTGCTCCTCTTCCAGGGCTTGGTTCTTCACCTTTAACTGGTGCTCCCTGGCCAGGTGCTCTTTCCTTTGCGCCCTCCCCTTCTTCACCTCCAGCATCAGGAACTGGGTCAGACCTTCGGGCCCCTCCTCATCTGGCAGAGAGAACGGCAATCAGCCGCTGGGTGCTGAGCCCCGGCCTTGCAGCCAGGACACAGACCTGTCAGTCGCTGTGCCCACCAACCCAGATTCAGGGTGCCGGAGCTCCTGGAACACGCAGGCCTCCTCCCAAGCCAGGATACAGGGGGCCTGGTTCTTCACACAGGCAGGGCTGTCCCTGAGCTGGGCTCAGGGGGGCCTGGGTTACTCACACAGAGCTTTCTCTAGGCCACCGTGCAACTGGGGAGGGAGAAGGGGGCTATGTCCCTACCCAGGATCATAGAGCAGCGCTGCACTGGCACCTTCCCAGTCAGCCGAGTGAAGTGCTCGGGGTAATAAAACTCTAGGGATTCTAGAAAGGCTTCGTAGCCTCGCTTCCCTCTGCACCGAAGGATGTCCATCAGGTGTCCTGAAAGAGACAGAGCAGCATAGGAGCAAGGTAGTGCTAAACCCATGAGCACCTCATGCAATGGCTTCACTGTGGAGGAGCAAATTCACCAATTCCCCCCGTTCTGAGATCAGGATGCTAAGGACAAGGGCGAGATCGCCGACGGAGAGGAGGGGGGGATTGCTGTAGGGAGTGAGGAGGAAGTGCTGATGGGGGGGGGTTGCTGGAGGGAACTGGGCAGGAGGGGGGGTTGTGGAGGGAAAAG